TTCAAAATTTAAAAAATCATTTAATTATATTAATTTTAAATAATAAAGATACATTAAATTAAAATATACTGATTTCGCAAATACCAATTAAGGAAATTTCGAAGTAAATATCGATTAGAGTTATATCATTTTATAATACGTTTAATATTATAAAAATTTTTAAATGATTGTTAATACACTCGTATGTAAAATATCATGTGTAAATACTTTTATTTTTATTAACAAAAAATATTTTTCTTTTTTACAAAAATAAAACGCTTTTATTTATAATTTTCTTGTATGAATAATGCAAATTAGCAAAGAATTCAATCCTTTATATATGCTTGTAAAGTAAATGTGACTGTAGATATAAAAGTAATAGAATATACTATTCTATTACTTTTACAGGTTACACGATGGATTCACTGATCCAATCGAGGGTCAGAAGCCAATTCCACCAAAGTGGTACAAGTGGTTGGACGGAGTTTTATCTATCACAGCAAAGCCAAAAATAAAATATATGGGTAAATTATAACAACTATTTTATCAAGAAAACATTTGAGCAAAGTTAAATATTCTATATTTAGAGATATAAATATTCTTCTTATTTCTTGACAAAACTAATTAGCTCGTTAATTATTCGATATAACAATGAATAACAAATAAACAGCAAAGAGAATCTCATAAATGTTAAAAGATATGAAATACAGAGGATATCCATATTTTCTTTATAATGCATATAGATAATAAAGCTTTATTTTAATTTATTATTAAGTTTGAAAGAATTTTAATTTTAAATTTAATAAAAATATGTAAAACTAAATAATGAACAAATAAAACATAAATATATTTTAAAAAGTTCTTGTTTGAAAAGAACAAATTTTAATTTTAAGTATAAGAGAATGTTCACTTTTCTGTGTTTGTTTGTTCTTCATTATTATAAATTTAACACTAATTAGTTATATGTTCTATCAAAAAGTCGATTATAAATTTTATTAATAAAAAAAATTATTGATAAAGAACAGCTGTTGATAAGGAAAATTAATTTGTATGATGTCTGGAATGTTATATATATTTTTCTGTTTATTTAATACAAAAATTTATCAATGCAGCATCAATAAATATTATATAGGAATATAATATAGAAATATTATATCTTGCCTTGCAATCATGTTCATTGTATTTATTTTGTCTCATAACTTTTTAATACAATTTCCATATAGGTATAACCGTTTAACAATAACATTAAGGTCAGGTGTGACGCTATAGCTTCGATTGTATTTGCGGGGAACATATTATACTATTAACACTATTACTTTTATTCTTTGTTTTACGTTCTAATGAGTAATAAAAATAGAATGACACAATGGTATAAGCGCGCTTTCCAAGCGCAATTAAAATCGTGAAGTCATATCTGATCCCGATTAATTATTTATTCTTTTATCTCTAAATAAATGGAGGAACAAATTATTATTTACTTTCTTTATCCATTTTATATGTAGATTAGATAAAAAAATGAACAGAGCATTGGATCAGACTTAATTTATTTTGAATACGTTTTAAAAATTACCATACATTAAATTCGATATGTATTGTTAATTTTTTTAAACTAATAGAGATATCATAATTTACAGAGATATCATATTTTACAGACATCATAATTCCAACTATAGACAGCGTACGAAGCGCAGCATTAATCGAATATCTCCTCACTAACGAGACAAATATACTTTGCGTGGGTGCAACCGGAAGCGGTAAAACTCTGACGGTGTCAGCGAAACTGTCACGTAACATGCCAAAGAAATACATTTGCGATTTTATGACGTTCTCGGCAAGAACTACGGCGCATCAAACACAAGTACAGCAAGAGAGCGAATTATGTATTTCTCGAACAGGAAATGAGATTAATGCCTAATTTCTTGCAGGATTTAATTGACGCGAAATTAGACAAGCGACACAGAAATATCTACGGGCCACTTATCCTGAAAAAGCAAGTTTTCTTCATCGATGACTTGAATATGCCGGCATTAGATACGTGTGGCGCTCAACCACCGATTGAATTAATTCGCCAATTTATGGATTTTAACGGTAAGGAAAATAACATTAACAACATTATAATAACGTATTCAATTAATTGAGTTGATACATGAATCATTTAATATGTAATAAATAAATATAATGAATAAATATATATGAGAAAATAGCTTAAGAATTAAATTAAAAGTGATTAGACACAGAATGATGATCGCAAATATATTTGCTTATAAGAAATTTATATAGACATTGTTATAAAATTATAATAAATACATATATATTTTAGTTACACTTATGCTTAATTTTAATATGCAGTATTTTTTTAAATTATTGTTTACAAATATATCTATAAAAAAGGAAATATTAAAAATTATTCAGCTTTTGAGCAGAAAGAAGAATTAACAATATTTTATCGCAATAAGTTCTTTACAGTTTTTCTAATTTAATTTATTAGCGATTGATTGTGTTGAAAATCCAAAAATTTTGATGCGCTATCATATCTGAAATGAATTGATATTTAATAAAGAATATATATTATATTATTCGAAAGATCTAACTTTGAGCGCTAATAGCGTTTTCTATTATATTAATATTTTTTATTTTATATTTTATATAAATGAATATAAATTTTATATCTCATAAATTGTATAATAGACGGATAATAAGGATCAATAAAAGAACTTTTCATATCGTAACGTAGCTCGATATTTACTTGAGAGATTTGAAATCTTATTTCCCTCTTCATTAAAATCTCTATTTAAATGGTTTCCCTTCACAGTTAGATTGTATGTCAAAGATAAAATTAATTCTTAAATTAATGGAAAATCCTAATCTTGTAAAAACTCTTAAGATAATTGAATAATTTTACAAGGAAAATCAATATTTTTTAAAAAATAATGCGTCATAATATATGGAGTTGTCATAATGACTTTTTTTTAGAGTAATGACGTTTTTGTAGAATACGCATTCCGGAAAATAGAAAAAAGCTCAAAAAAAATAATATAATAATTTCTATATAGCGTTATGAAATACTTGCCTATGGTACATATGATGCAGTGAGAATTCAACAAATTTTAATAACCTGTTTCTGCAAACGTAATACTCCCCAAGGCACTCATGCCATTAGAATTGATCTCCTACGTGGGTGGAATCCAATAATATGGACATATGCATCTCACATATATCCATGGGGAAATATTAATATATTTTATCCACAATATGGAACAAATTATATAATTGCGGAATTTTTCATAAAAAACCTGTTAATAATAATTATTATCCAATTATCTTATTATCTGATTACTGAGTAAAATTTCAATAAATTAAGAAATTTTCAAAATCTTTATCTCTCTTATAAATGTTTTTCTTGAAAAAGGAAACTTAAAACACTTAATTAAACGAAAAATGATACCTTGCTTATCTGATGCGACAAAATATAGTCCGTAATTAGCAATCAAAATTTAAGTTGAGATAGATTTTCCCTAGGGTGGTATGACAAAAGGAAGATCGGATCCTTCAGACTGATCGAGGACGTAAATTTCGTCGCAGCTATGGGACCTCCCGGAGGTGGAAGAAACCCAATAACTGCTAGACTTTTACGGCATTTCCATATTATTGCATTTCCAGAGATGCAGGACGATGCGAAAGTGAGTTTGCATAGTATATGTAAAACTATACGTTAAATATGTTAATGCTAATTGCTTATATTTATCGACAGTTATCCAAAAAAGATCGGTTATATTATTTTTATTATCTAGAAATAAAAATGTGACATTTTACTGAAATCATATTTTTAGAGTAAGAAACGAGATTACTTGATTGGATGAAATTTCTACGCGAATTTTCAAACATTGTATAAGATTCTAAAAAAAAATAAAAATAAAAAGTAAAAAACTTCTATATATAATTTCGTGATTTTACATTTTTCATATTGAGTATAAAAAATATAAATCTGCGCATAAAAACGTAAAAAAATATATAGAAATAATATATTTATAAATAAATATAAAAAAAGAGAGATAGAGAAAGAAAATATCTAAATTCAAAATGTTGACTTAAAATTTATATTAAATATGTA